CCGTTTTCTTTAGAGTGCTTCTATATTATCATTTTCACTAACTAATGACCTTCTGACTGCGAGAATCGACTTGGCAGTTGGGAGTATCGGATTCCTCAGGTGCAGACATCGAGGAATTAGTATCCTTGTGGTATAACCGATCATCAGGTATTTCATCGCTTCATTTATTCCTCGGACAATCAAGTGTTTCATGCATTTATTTCAGACAAGGGTGCCCTTCTCGTGATGACTCCCAGGCATCTAATGTTGCCCAAGTTATCTGACCATTCTTATTTTCACAAGCAGTAGATTCCATATGCTTGACCATAGATCTCCATTAGCTCCTGTTACACTGTCCGGTACTTGCGTTCGGAATTAACTATTCTTGACTGCAGTTGTGGATGCTGTGCGAAGGTCATGTACCAAGGAGGATGCGTTGAAACTTCTTGTCGGAGCAAATTCAGAGGACAGCCAGCATGCTATAATCAACCAACCGAAAGATGATCAAGGGCCATCAGCCGCTTTAGCTAATGAAGATAAAATGGATCTGGGAGGAGAACACAAATATGAGAGAGACGAAGCCGTGGAAGACGAGCTTGCGAAAGAACTGACCGGTGATCCATTGGCAGACTACGACGCGGAAGTAATGAAAGAAGGAGAGGCCAAAGCAAAGTATTTGGCCCTTCTGGATTCAAAAGCCAATGCAACATAGGAAATAAGATACACAGGTTCTTCCAGAATCCAGTAAATAAGTAAGATTGTGTAGTTTCATTTTTTATCCTCCAGCATTAATATAGTATTATAAAAGATACGAGTGCGATTTCTTCTTTAATTAGCCTTAAGGTTTCTTTTTTCTCCTTTTGTAATCATCATTTCCAAATGGGTTTTTATGTATCTCTGGCAATGTGCACCCAGTCGCCAAGAGGTCATATATGGTGTTTTATATTTAAAATATCTTGCTTGAAGGGAAAAAGCTTGAACTAGTTACGCTAAATTTACACTGCCCCTTGGTTGGAAGTGAATAGATATGTCAACTTTCATATGGTTTCAAGCGTAAAGGCATCTCTATTCCCTTCCACAAAATTATCTATAAACACTTGATAATTTTGTGGAAGGGAATAGAGATGCCATTGGTTGATGCCTCCAAAAATGAATATCCCATTTTGAATATGAATGATAGGCACAAAATCGATCTTTTATGCCTTTGGCTTATGTGATTAAAAGAAGCTTTACTGAATCACTAATAATCGAACAAGTTGTAAAGCCCGAAACCCCAAGCCCCAAACTATTATTAAGAGTTTGGTTTATTTGGATATTTTTATCTATCTTTTATTCATAATGGCTCTTAGTCAGGCTAGAGATACAGTTGTCTAGAAAACAAGCCAAATCAGGGTTTGGATGAAATTTTACGGTATCCAAGCTATGCATTATCATAACACTCATCCTTGACAATAATATTTAATTATTTTAAATATCAAAAAAGAGATTTTTTATTTAATTAATATTATTTTATTATGTTAAACAGCCCATAAGAGGGCTTTGCATGAAAGAGCCTCATACACTTTATCAACACTGTCTATATGAAGTGTAACAAATTTCTGTAACAATGCTGCTCCGATGAGGACGAGGACGAGGACGAGGACGATAACGATGACGACGACATAGGTAAAGACTACCGGGTACACATGCATGCATGAAGAAACGACTACGGTTGCATGTATTTTTGGGTAAAGGTCAAGTCATGGAGAAAGGAATACGAGGGATGGCACGTAGGCAGAGGTCCGACTTCCTCCGGCACGTAATCGAGAAGGTTTCGCTCATGTCCAACTCCTGGGGCATCCCTTCATCTCCCGATGGGAGCTCCCAATCAAAGTTGTAGAGAAGGCTAGCCAGGGAAAGCTCTATGCTCTTCAAACCAAACGACATCCCTGGGCATATCCTCCTGCCTGCCCCGAAAGGTAAGAACTCAAAGTTGGTTCCCTTGAAGTCGACCATGGAATTCCTCCTCTCGAATCTCTCTGGCTCAAACTCAGTGGGATTGTCCCAGTATCGAGGATCCCTTCCCAATG